ATGAAACTTCCCACAACTACAAATATATATATTTTTCTGTACTCATTAAGATAATTTGACCCAGAACCAGCAGTACTGAAACACACTATACTTGCATATATTTACAATGTGAATTCTTAAATACTGGACAACAGATACTTTGGTAACTGCACTGCTGGTTAGAACTTTCCCATGTATATTTATGATTTGGCTCTCTCTTTTTTTCCTATTGTCCCGTCTTTGAAAACAGTAATCTTTAGAAAAATGTGAGAGAGCGCAATAGAAGATTCTTTTGAAACATTTATTTTGGGTAACTTACATTTAGCTGGCTAAAAGGAAGATGGTAATAAACTATACTGAGTTTTAAATACTAAAATATTTTGGTTATAAGCATTTAACCCAAACATAAGAGTGTGTAAAATGCTCTTTTGCCAAACAGGAAACACAAAAAAATGTATACCTTGAACCTTGAAATCTATAATCAACTATACATAATTTGCAGAATCTCTTATATGCAGTGCCAAGACGCACTTAACTTTTTGAACACGTAAAGTTACCTTGTGCAAAAGGTGTACATGGTTTTCCAAAAAAATTTTTGTTTCGGTATAAAGTCTCTCTCCAAGAGGTTCAGGATATGCCACACACAAAGCATAAATGTCTCTGGGTTTGAAGTCAAGGTTTGTAAGTTTTCACATTTAACAAATTTCAGGTGCTGAAAATCTGAAGTTATACTGAAAGATTTCTTTTAAAAGTAAAAATAAAACATAAAATAATATAGTTTAGACAGAAAATTTGTTGTTTTATTTTGCTGCGTTGCCAGGTTTGCTGTCACTCGCCCCTGATTTAATGCAACTTCTTGGAACAATAAGAACTAAACCACCCTTTAAAAGAAACTTGGATAAAGTTAGGAGTCAAAGCATACCTTTAGACACAAATGATTTTTAAAAAAAAATACAGTTTCCAACAACAAATATTGAAATCACTAAGAATATTTAGGAAGTCAGAACTTTTGAAAATGTGTACCCTTTATTAGTGTTTAATATATTTTATTTTCAAAGTTTTAGATATTAGCTTTACTAATGGCAAAAATGTCCTAAGAAAACAAGCAAGCTCATTTTTATGCAAGTAAGTTGTCACCAGCATAGTAAGAAATATGATAACATATGTGTTTATACAATCCTATCAAACAAAACATTATTAAAGGGTCCTGTAACAGTTGAAAAGACAGATTTTTGAGCATGTTTAACCTTGCTCTACACAAAAAGAACACAACTTCTGAATTTAGTGGCTTAAATAAAGGTAAAAGCTAGATGAAAAGTAAATTAAAATTTACAGAGATGCCCAATATTTTACTTAGACAGGGGCTGTACATTTTTCTTTCAAATCACTAAGCTTGGGTTTTGTTCTCAAACAGGAAATTAGCTTTTTACTCTAAAAGATTTTCCCTTCAATATGAAAAACTTAATTCCACCCTCTCCATACTTGTAACAAACATGAAACTTGGACTGTTAAGATCTTTTAGGAGCTTATAGTTAAAAAACACAAAGAGCATCAACTTTAGCTAAAGGATTGTTCAATTAAGGGTGGCTCCAAAGCAAGCATGAAGCATTTAATTGGTAAAGGCTAGGGGGAATTTTTTTTTTTTTTTTAAACAGCCCATCACTTTGGCAAAGAAAAAAGATAATAATTTCAATAAGATTTTAGGTACTTAGCACTTCAAAAAAAGTCCCCAAAACCAACAGGTCATGAAGATTCATTTTGATAAACCATAACATGTTCCAGAATGGGTATGTAATCAACCAGTCTAGAAATCCAGGTGTTGCCATCTTCACGGTTGCTGTTCCCACCTCACTGTGGGGGTCAGCTGCTTGGCTCAAGCCGACTTTTAGTCTGACTGGCATTTTCTTATTGCTGATTACCCAACATCTAACAGCCCTTTCAAAGAAAGCTTCCTTCATTGCTTACAGTAATGCCTAGGGCCTTTAACTTTTTTATGTGAAAAGATATTGACTCTTAGTCTCCATTTGAACACTCCCCTTTCTACTCCTGCTACTCAGCATCACTTCTATTCTGACTGCTTGCTTTCCACTGCCCATATTGGAAGTTTTCCTGCTCCCTTGTCAATGGCTGTTGGAGCTTTGGCACTACATCCAGCCACAAAGCTCCTTCATATGTTGTTTTTCCCTTGCATGTTGTTTTGACTCATTACATCTAATGGGACATGAAGCTGATCCCTGATGAAGTCCAACCCCTACTGGGAAAGCTTCTATCCCTTTCTAAAGATGACCTGCAGCTCACTATGATGAAGGGTTAAATAGTTAGAATTATGGGATCACTTGCTGAGAACTGCACCATCAGGAGCCAAAGTTTCCAGGTGAGGTATCTTCTTGAGCATGAAACAAAATAGATGGGCCAGCTGTTTTCAGGGTCCTTGCTAAGCCCAAGGCAGGGCAACAAAATCCTTATGGTCTTGCAAGTGGGTTGGCTGGAACCCCTGCCAACAACTACTTTAGGTGTTGCAATCAAGAACAGTTACAGTTGATAGCTCACTTTACACCATTAAAAACATCAACATTTTCAAAAGAAAAGTTTCTTATTCTAGACTCATTTGCAAGTGAAAAAAGAGCTGAAATAGTTGGCAACTAGCACCCCAAAGAAAAGCAACAGCTATATATCTGACCATATATGGAGTAATCAATACACATGTTATCTAAGGGAGGATTTTCCTCACTACACAAAGAAATGAAGTATTACATTAGAAACTTGACAGTATAATTTTATCTATCATTTGTTAACACTGTGGTGTTTCCACAACAACGTTTCATAGGGACAACCAGCTAAGTAACCAAGCTATTGACTGTTCTAAGACCTTGTCCGGGTGAGGGTGATCCCCTGCCCTCCATTAATGCTGACTTTCTGAAGGAACATCTGGAGAAGCTGGATACCTTCAAGTCAGCCGGCCCTGACAATCTTCACCCTAGGGTACTCAAGGAGCTGGCAAGCATCATAGCCCAGCCTCTAGCACGGATCTTTGAAAACTCTTGGCGCTCTGGTGTAGTGCCCGAAGACTGGAAGAAGGCCAATGTGGTGCCTATCTTCAAGAAAGGGAGGAAAGTGGATCCGGCTAACTATAGGCCCATCAGCCTGACTTCTATCCCGGGGAAGATCTTAGAAAAGTTTATTAAAGAGGCCATCCTTAATGGACTGGCCGACGCCAACATCTTAAGGGATAGCCAGCACGGGTTTGTTGCGGGTAGGTCTTGCTTGACCAATCTCATTTCCTTCTATGACCAGGTGACCTATCACCTGGACAAGGGAGAAGAGATTGATGTCATATATCTTGACTTCAAAAAAGCCTTCGATCTGGTGTCCCATGATCGCCTCTTGGAGAAACTGGCCAATTGTCGCCTTGGGTCCTCCCCGATCCACTGGCTGGAAAATTGGCTCCGGGGTCGGACCCAGAGGGTAGTAATCGATGGAAGTCACTCATTGTGGTGTCCTGTGACCAGTGGGGTCCCCCAAGGCTCTGTCCTTGGACCCATACTGTTCAACATCTTCATTAATGATGTGGACACTGGAGTCAGAAGCGGACTGGCCAAGTTCACCAATGACACCAAACTTTGGGGCAAAGCATCCACACCAGAAGACAGGCAGGTTATCCAGGCTGACCTGGACAGGCTCAGCAAGTGGGCGGACGAGAATCTGATGGTGTTCAACGCCGATAAATGCAAGGTTCTCCACCTTGGGAAAAAAAACCCGCAGCATCCTTATAGGCTCGGCAGTGCTATGTTGGCTAGCACTATGGAAGAAAGAGACTTGGGGGTCATCATTGACCACAAGATGAACATGAGCCTGCAATGCGATGCGGCGGCTAGTAAAGCGACCAAAACGCTGGCTTGCATCCATAGATGCTTCTCAAGCAAATCCCGGGACGTCATTCTCCCCCTGTACTCGGCCTTAGTGAGGCCGCAGCTGGAGTACTGTGTCCAGTTTTGGGCTCCACAATTCAAAAAGGATGTGGAGAAGCTTGAGAGAGTCCAGAGAAGAGCCACGCGCATGATCAGAGGTCAGGGAAGCAGACCCTACGATGACAGGCTGAGAGCCCTGGGACTCTTTAGCCTGACTTCTTTACTGTCCGAGCCCCCAAGGTCTGGAACAGCCTGCCACCGGAGGTGGTTCAAGCGCCTTCGTTGAACACCTTCAAGATGAAACTGGATGCTTATCTTGCTGGGATCCTATGACCCCAGCTGACTTCCTGCCCTTTGGGCGGGGGGCTGGACTCGATGATGATCTTCCGAGGTCCCTTCCAGCCCTGATGTCTATGAAATATATGAAAACTTTGCAAATTTGAGATTTAAGAATTTAGTTATGTGGGCTGCCCCAGCTCCCAGCTCTATAAAAAAAGAGCCCTGCACTCATCAGCTCCTGCCTCCGGGCTTCTGGGAGCTTGTGGCAGAGCCCCCTATACAGCATGAGACAGTGGGGGCAGTGGGGAAATCACCCCCCGCCTGGCAGGAGCAGGTGACTGCAGGGCTTCTTAAAAAAAGAGCTGGGGCAGGCAGGCCAGCCATGGGGGGTGAGGCTGGGAGAGTGGGTAGGGGTGGAGTGTTCATGGCAGAGCCCCCCACACAGCAGGGATCACCCCCTGCCTGGCAGCAGGCAGTGAGTGGGGTTTGTTTTGGTTTTACTTGGGGGTTTGGTTGGGGTTTTTTTTGTTTTTTTTTAAAGAGCTGAAAGCTGGGGCCAGGAGAGCGGGCAAGGGATGGGGGCTCATGGCAGTCCCCCATGCAGTGCAGAGCAGGAGCAGGAGCAGGAGCAGGAGCAGGAGCAGGAGCAGGAGCAGGAGCAGCGACTGCCCCCCCGCCTTCGCAGCAGCTGGTGAGCTTTTTTTTTTTTAAGAGCCAGGAGCTAGGGTGGGTGGGCAGCCATTGACATGGCTGGGAGAGCAGGTGGCCGAATCTCCGAATTAGATTCGGCCGAATTGATTCGGGATAGTGATCTGAATCACCGAATCAAATCACTGTCCTCTGAATAGGCCAAATGTGAATCGAATACTAGCCGCTTTGCACAGGTCTAAACCCGCCCCTGTCCAAATAAAGCCTTTTCTAAGGAGAGAGGATATCTTAGCTTTTTACTGAAGTTTAAGTTCCAAGTATGTGAACCTACCTCAGATTCTAGTTTTCGAAAAATCAGAAAAGTGGAGATAACAGCTGGGTGGGCTAGAGAGCTTGCTCTCCTGTGTCCATAGGCGAGGTAGCAGCAATGGGTGGGGTGGGTTAGAGCTTTAAGGTTTTGTAAGCTGCCGTGAATCTTTTCTGGATAGGGCGAAACAAATTTGAAAAATAAGATCGGACTGAATGCAGAGGTTGGAATAGTGACAGGTACTGGTTCACTGTCAACTACTCCATACTACTGGTACCAGTCTAGAGTAATTAATAGCTTTGAGAGGTCTGAGCCCGATCTAAGGTAAAATAAATAAATTAATTAATTAAGCATGTGAGGAGATGGCTAACTGTGATTAGCAACTTCTCACTTTTGTCCATAAAAAGTAAGTCTGCAATGATTTTTGAAAAACAGAGCTTTACTTTCAGCTCAGTGTGTCGTCCCCCCTGCCCCATGAAGCATATGCTCCGAAAAGGCAGTGTGTTAGTTGGACCCAG